ACAAAATTAGCACATGTAATTATTAGCACATAGCACAAACGCAGTATGAACTCAAAACAGTCAAAGATCAAAGTACAGTCATTAGAGGAAATGCTGTCCGGTAGGCAGACAAAACCAAAGGGCATAAGGTCAGCTAGGTTTCAGAAAGCAGACAAAGGTCCCACACAGTCATGCAAAACAAAAATAAGCCAGCTGTAAAGTTTAGGCAGCACACAGTGGATAATTTACAGTAGCTAGGGCAGATGACTAATGGGCAGCAGGTGTGTAGGAGAGGAATGGTAGAGGTTAGTCAACCATGAGTGGAATGAGCAGGAGAAATGGAGAGCAGATGAAACAGGACTGTGAAGTTACAGTATACACAAATGAAATAGTTGACCTATGTGAACTGTTGCTGCTACCGTAGCTGTGAGTCACTTTGAACTCTACAGAACTGTGGACACGACTGTAAATTTGCATCATATATAGGAGTGACCCTGAATACTTGACTATTTGAAGATTAATTCTAAGGAGGCTGATTCCACTTTCACAGTCAAATAGTCACAACACGTGGTTATGAAACAAGGATCATTCCATTCCAGCTGTATGGGAACACGTCATGTCTGTTTTTCCCAATAAGTTAATAAATATAGCCTATGTATGCATACTATACATCAGCCTATTGACTAGGCTTGACTAGCGCCATTGTGTGGCAGCCTGTCGTCATCGGTGTGTGAATGTTGTGTGTGAATGGTGTATCATGTCCTGTAAAGTGCTTTGGCCAGTGCAACACACTGTGGAAAAATGCGCTATATATATACAGTCCATTTACTATTTATTAATATAATACTGTTGCTTATGTACATTTAATTAATTTCCTTGTTTCTGGTTCAGACTACACGATTTAAGCCCAAAAACAGCCTGACCCACCGGTCAGAGGGCTTTGGAACTGACAAACAGTGCTGGACGCAACAATTGTTTTATCTTGTCTAGTGTTTCATTGTAAACGATGCACCCACAGTATCAGAGTGACGGCCGCACAACAGTGGTACTATTGTTGAATTCAGGGTGTCAGCTCTTTTGTCTTGTGTGAATAAGTGGAAGCCAATATGTGACATAGAGTTATATGTAGCAGCTAGATTTGGGAAGCACTTACTCAGCTTCCTAGCAGGTGGTAACCTCAATTTGAAAGTGTGGAAATTGTTTAAAGCTACTGTGAGAAGATTTGTGATAATTTGAATTTTTCAAAATAGTTTGGAGGTGTAATGTTTTGTTTGTGAGAAAAAAAAGACAATCCCTGTGAAAGTTAGTGCAGTCTGTTTTTTTTTCTTTTAACCTAGTATGTGTCTCAGTGACCTTGACTCCACAGGGTTTGTTTTGATGAAACTGCTGAGAGATGTTAAAGCCAGAATTTTTACAATCATATACACAGGAGCTTTACTAACGGGGTGTTGCAGAGATGTGAGATGTGAGAGTTTGAGTTTCATGGCTGCCATTAGAAGTCATAAATTACTGATAGCACCTTTTAATTAATGTTTGTGTTTGGGCACAAAAACAACTTGGCTGGGGAAAGATCATGGTTCAGCGTTGCAGGATATGGTTCTTCTTACCATTGCTAACTCTGAGAGACAAGACAGTCCAAGTAACTTCAAAACAGTGCTGATTTATTCAAAGGATCACAGGTAAAATTAACATTACACGCTCAGGTATCTTGCACCTCCAAACTGCTCCCAGGCAGATGTAAGATGAAAAACCCTGAACCCACCAGGCCTATACATTATATCCCCTCGGTTGGGCTAGCCCCATACTACAGAGAAATGTCAACCGGGACGTCTCTGTTGCCAGCTTTGCAGCTGGTCATAGCAGTAGTCAAAACATGAAGCAAATCAATGTGTGTGTGTGTCTGTTGATTAAGTGGTGTGTAGCTAAAAACATTCTCACAGACTTCTAGTAACATGTCATGACTTAAACATAAGAACATATTATGGCTAAGGCTACAGTTATACACGTCATAATAATAGTATTAAACACCCTGTCTGCTGACAGTCATCAACTCTTCTCTCTAGTTATCCTTGACCAGATGTACCCTGTAGAAACTCATGAGCATGACTAAGCATTTAATAGTCTAACTAGACATCCTATCTCCACTAAACATTTCTAATACATAAAGTATCGATCCAATATCTATCTGACTAAAAATACCTAACAGCGTTAAGTAACTACTTTATTTAAATTAAGGAAACATCATGGTTTCAGTTCAAATTACTGCTTTGTTAAGGTTAAGGGGCCTTTGTTGTCATGGTTACAATAATAAACCCTTTTTAGTACAGTAACCAGCATCACTCCACAACTTGCATCAGCACCGAATGCTACCATTGAGTGGGAGCTGCTAATGAAGAGTAGTTGCATAGATGACAGGGTTGCAGCGTGGCAGAGTTAGAATTTGCACAGAAACAGCTTTTCATTACAGTTTAATTAAAGTTAAATCACTTTGGTTTTAACAAGCTAACATACAAATTTCTTAGGAGCTGTGATAATGACTATGTATGTGTATGTGTTTGTGTGTATGTCTTAATGTATGCCTGTTGTGTGTCTCTGATTTTGTACTATTGCTAGATTCTAACCTTTTTGTTAGAAATTAACCCAATTCTTTTGTTGGAAGCTCGAGAAGTGAACACAGGAGAGGACTGTTTAAAATCAACAGAAAGTTTACTGTCTGATTACAAGCAAGTCTTACAGCGCTGGATTCAGAGAGCCAGAGCTCCCGCAGGAAAACCAACTTCTGAATCCTGAGTCATGTTTTACAACACATTTTATCTTCTTGGGCTGCCCTGCACTAAACAAAGGTACAACAATTCATGCATTGTAATCCTATTGGTCATTTGGTGAGCAGGAGCTCACACCTCCTTGCTGGAATGTGATCTACACCAGGTGTGTGTGTGTGTGTGTGTGTGTGTGTGATGCTAATTTGTATGTTAAACTGCCCTGGTGGTCATCTCAGGTTGTGGGCCCCCGGCCTCTGCAGGACATCCCAAGATAAAGCAGAACTTGGAATATGCTAAGTGGGTCTAGGTGTGGGTGCAAAACAAGCCAACTTGTCTTTGTTAAAATGTGAATTGGCTGTCTGGTCACAAAGAGATGCAGACATCTAGTCTCTACACAGAAGTTACAGCACTCAAAGTAAGCAGATTCTGCTTCATTACAGCTGTAAAATATATAAGCAAGGGAAACAAATGCATTAAAATAACCAAAGTAGTTCTGGACAATCATCAATACAGCTGTAATATGCATAAACAAGTAAGATAAAGTTATGAAAGGTAACTAAAAGGAACTACAGGTATGAGAAGTAACTAAAGCTTATAAAGTAACTAGAGTCTATAAGACTCAAATCTTACACTATATTAGTGAGGACCAGAGACTTTTCTGAATAAAAAAACAGACCCTTGTGGGTTGTGTGCTCTTCTCATCAAAGGGTACGACTTGGGTGTAG